AAAAGTGATTGTAATTGTCTTCCGTTATCATTGTAAATTATTTCACATCATATCATACCTCAACATTATACTGTAGGCCTATGAGTAGTGGTAAGCAGCTAATATTATTCATTATTATTATTTAAACACATAGATATTGGTGTGATACTGCCCGAGTGCCCTGACCGAAGCACGTGGTTTTCTTAGAGGGCCCCACACCCGGAGTCATCGACATTAATGTTTAATCCACAAGGAAGTGGAGCAACATTGGAAGATGCAGTTCTACAGTAACGAGTGACCAACGACTGGTTCATGCGTTTTGGTTCCTTCAGGATCCTGGAATCAGCCCATGTGCACCACTGGTTTGGAATCAGGGTTTTCCAACCCTCCTAAATGGAATAGAGATATTCACCAACTTAATTAAAGCGACAGACATCCGCTTTATCTCTTCTAAATTTCGAAAACAATACCCCTAACACGAGGAGGCAGTGTGTAAGACTCTTCTGATAGTGGTTGTATGCACGTGGCCACTTGAGAGCATTTCGAGAAGAAGAGCTGATTCTCTCTACTCTCGGCCGTACCAGGTCACTTAGGGGCATTTAAAAGTTAGATAAGCATACGAATATGCAACCGCAAACTTGCTCATTTCTGAATTCTTACTTGTTTACGATAAACAGTAGTATCTTATCCATCATCAACGTGTTAAGTTCTAATATTGATTTTAGGAAACACCTTTATGTGACCAAGATTATCTCAAAATAAAATTATATACTAGTACTACGATGTTTATAATGAAATAAAACGTCCAATATATTTAAGTTTACCCTGCTACGCAGTCGACGATTGTAGGTACTAATTGCAAATAATCATTATATCCTAACTAGATCATCAAACAACTGTAATAAAAATACAGACGATTCAAGGATATGGAAGACTGACATTCTGTTGTATAGAAAACTCACTTGCTTTTGTAAGTTCAACCACTAAATTTGTAATATGATGCACTGTCAAAGGTCTGGAATACTAAATCACCTCATGTACTTGGTGAATCCCTCACTGGACGTATATGAAGTAAATATAGCAAAGGTGTAAAATTCATCAAATATCACAACCGTAGCCGCTACCTTGGTGTGGTAGCCAGCCTTACCTACTGTAATAATACAGTCGTTCTATGCTGCCTAGGACATTAGTTCTTAAAGATTTTGCCATGCTATGCATGTCGGTTGGAGAACGGTAAGACTAAACCAAACAGATTAAGGTTCGAAGGTGATTTTGTACTGCCGACTGTACAGTAGTCTGATAGCCGTTGATTTTTTCTTCAGGAAACTAGCACTTACAACGATTCTGCTTTCTCACAACGAAAAGTGAGAGTTCGTAAAGAACAACTCTAGAAATTTTATACCTTACTCACTGATCTCTGTCTCTGGTGATTAGGCATTTTTGAAGTAAAAAGCTGATCTGTCTGGAATATCTCAGTCAGTCAGTCAGTTAGTCAGCTACAACGTAGGACCAGGCACATATATGCATCGGTCCAAGTTGCCATACCGCATTATCACAGCAAAATGAACACTGGATTCATAGACGTGTTTACTTCAATGGGGGAAATATATAGAAGAAAGATTGCATATAAAAGTATAATACGGGAAGAAAGAATTAGTTAGTAGAAAGAAAGATATGAAGTGATTTTAATCTCTTAGTTTAAGGGAAGACAGGGAGTGTATACACCTACGACATTGTGATCGATTCTGAGTCATGTCACCAGGAGTCTCCAACCCTTGGTTACGATAGTCACGCTGACCCCAACCAAGTAGTCTGCATCTATCAACATGGCTCAGACTAGAAGTTATTGTCTTCAAGCACTGACACCACGTTTTGGTTTGGCCGCCCCTAACCTTTTTCCAACCATCCCCAACACCGGTTAGCATTGGTAATCGGTGTTCAGGTATACGCAACACGTGGCCCAACCATCTCAGTCGATGAAGATTAACAACCTCATCAACTAATTTACCATCATTCCCTAATACCCTGCGTCTAACCTCAGTATAAATTACCAAGTGATCACAGGAGATGCCAGCAATGTTTCTAAGGCATCTGTGGTCAAATACTAGTAGCTTACGAGTATCTTAAACTGCAAAAAGCCATGTTTCGCGGCCGTGGGGTTTATGACTTCTGAGGTACGCCTTTCAATGACGGACACTGCCTCAAAATCTCGCGGTCTACCGAGTCAAATGCTGCATCTAAGTCAAGAAAGACCAGCCTAGGATTTTAGATATTATATTAGTTAAACTAATCACTCTGTGGTTGTCACAGGATGATTTTGACCCTTTCTTATATATTGGGACGATAAGTGATTGCGACCAGTTAGATGGGATAACGTCTAACTTTCAGATTTTAGCTAAAATATTAGTCAACCTAATCACTAAAATTGGACCACCATCCTTAAAATTATCTGGAGCCAATCCATCTGGACCAGCTGCGCTTCCTCGTTTCAGATTAACTATTGCCTTTTGGACTTCAGCTAGGGTTGGGGGACCTACTTCAATGTTCCATTCACATTGTCTGGGAATAAAGGGTAGTTGTAGAATAGCTAAAGGCCAGCTGAACTGTTCTCCAAAATGTTCCGCCCATCGTTCTAAACGTCTGGACTGGGAGCAGGTGAGAGTATCGTCTTTTTCCGAAATAGTCTGACTTACACTTGACTTAGTAATTCCACCTTCTTTTATTAGTCTGTAGAGCTATCTTTTGTTCCCTATAGCCACTGCCCTTTCCATCTCTTTTGCTTTCGTTGCCCACCACTGCTCACGGTCGTTCCTTAGACTTTTGCTTAACTCAGATCTGATTTGTTTACGCTCTTCATCATGTTCACAACCTGATGGGATGAGTTTGCGAGAACCCATCAGTGTGATAGACTTTGAAGAAATCCACTGGTTCTTTGTAACTCCGTGGTTTAAGTCACTAATAGATTTCATTGCTGTTTCCACAGCTGTTTGTATATCTTTCCAAGCAACATCTGGGTCAGCCTCGTTTTCAGAACTACCTTAGTGTGACCTCAGTTGTTCCTGGAACCTACTTTTGGTTTTCTCGCTACTCAATTCAGTTGTAACGGGTCTTTTTACTGTGGCTTTTCTGCGTCCAGTGAGGCGCAAGCAGATGCGTGCGCGTAACACGGCATGGTCGGAGTCCAACCAGGTACTCCAGAATGAGCGACAATCTTCTACCGACCCTCTTCAACGATGACTGATGGCAGTATGGTCTATTTGAGTCCATCGTTGGTTTGGTGTAGAGGGTCGCCATGTTAAACAATGTCTCTCCTTATGCTTAAAATTTGTGTTTGCTAAAAATAAACGATTGTCCGAGCATAGTTGCAGCAGACGATCACCATTATCTGTTCGCTGAACCAGAATACTAAAATATCCACCTAAATGCCTTTCTTTTTGGTTTAAACTACCTATCTGTGCATTAAAGTCACCTCCTGTGGGTACTATGTCTGAACGTTTAGCTTTCTGAAGAATTTCAGATAGCTTTCTGTAAAATTCATCTTTCAATTCTTCCGAGCTGCAGTCAGTGGGAGCGTAGGCATAAAGGACAAAAAGGCAACAACGTGTGTCCCTATCCTTCCGAGTTCTTACGGAGCCGTTTAGCCGAACAGCACATGAACGACTGTTAACAGGGATCCACTCTAACAGTGCTTGTTCCGCCCTCATTCTTAGTGCTATGCCTACACCGGTCAGTGCACGAGAACTGGCCATCGGGTCACCAGATACACGGAGGGTGTGTCTCGTTGGCTCTCCGTTTCGCCGAGGTGAGGTCAACTGAATGACGACACTAGGATTCTGTATGCGTGTTTCGAAGACATGGCATACATCAACGGTAAGAGAACTTAGGGTTTTAGCCAAGGAAGCTTGCTGACCAGTTTGACATAAGGTGCGTACGTTGAAGGCTCCAATGTGTGGTTTGGAGTGAGGTTTCAGTTGACCTGCGGCAGTGTTTTGCGCGGTAGGACCGTTGGCTATGGTGACACTTGAGGGGGAAGACGAAAGAGGAAGTTTAGTGTTGAAAGTCGATGTAGGAGCAATGATAGGAATTGAAGAAGGAGGTTGATTATGAATACAGTGGTCTTGAGTGTTGTCAGAGGTATGAGGACGGTTATCACTCCCCGGTTGCGCACACCGTGGAAGGGTTCTTCTGGAGGTACCTGGAAAGGAAATTGGATTAGGGGTGGTCTTAGTGACCTGAGAGCGTGACCGCAGTGCCCAGGGGACAACTGCTTGAGGTCGGTCACATACGACCTTTTCATGGGTAATTTTTGTGTTAGCTCCGTACTTGTTGAGACCTTACCGCCGGAGACGGATGTCCGTGGGATAAGGCGAGGTGTGTATTTTTAGGGTCGACCTTTTCTAACCCCACCCCTCCTTGTGGGAAAGCAGCATCGCTGTCATGCTGGTTGTCTGAAAAGCCTTCAATATTAAAGAGTGAGAAACTCATCATTGGTGAAAATATATAAGAATAGAATTGTAATTGTTATAAGATTCCACTTGAAATTTGTGTTGATGATAACGGTTAGGGGTTGGTGAGTATTCTACGCTTATGTCAAGTAGATTATCTAGAACCTACCCTACACAAACCATGTTGGCACCACCGAAAGATGACTACCATCTTCTTTCATCTTATACACCAAAAGATCAGTCCTGGCATCGGTTTAATTCCAAATTGATGTACATGTTGAGACTTTAATGGTAGAATAAAAACACACCAATGACGCATAAACTACTTCATGCGTACAGTTTTTTCAACGACAAAACGATTTTTACAATTGAATGATCATTGGGCAGTGACTAATGCTATGTATTTCAAGTCCTTCTTCGTGTTAATCGAATCTATCGGCAAATTTGAAATGTAGCTAATTAGTCTAGGTGACGCTACATCGCTTGCATTATGTCGAGATGTGAAGAGGTGGTTAGAGATAACGATCGATTTAAGAGCCAACTGTGCTTAAAACAATCAGTTCTCTTCATCATCATATCAAAACACGCCAATAAATTGAGAATCTTCCGTGTTAGGTAGGTGCCCATCAATAAGAACATAAGTAAAGTTCTATGTAAATGACTCAAATTCAAAACTTTCGTAATACTTATCTTACAAGTTTAGTTCTTATTCAGGACTTCCTTTCATAGCATATATATATATGTACATTATCTATTCAGTCCATTTATGTAAACATTCAACATTGGTACAAACATAATATAAACGCATATTTTCTTCCGCCTTCAATGTCTGTGATTGAAAAAATACAGCTTCTTGTTTACCGCATCGACGACATATATGATCTTCTGTTCGAGGCAGTGTTGGATCATGAACAACATCCGGTACAATTAAAGCCAATTCACTTTAGATGGATAAAAGAAATACTATTTTATTTAAAAAAATTAACGGGAAAAGTTTATAATTTGAAGTTGTACATTTCATAATACAATTTTACACTGACAAGACTATGAAACTACTAGTGAGTATACCTCCGCTGGTCTAACTACCCTGTTGGCAGAACATAAATTGTATGAAATCATGCTTAGTGCACGATTGCTTTGGCGAACGCTGATCGGTTAATTCCTATCCAATCAGCACTAGTCGATACTTGGAGAACACTCTATGATCTTCTCATGTTAAAACTATAAATTTACTAACGTTTTTCCTACTGTGCTTTTACTTCCATCTTTATCCATTCTGTCAAGCAACAAGGCACGATTCCCCCATTCTATCTTCATCTGACAGCAACCGGTTCCTCCACCCACCCATCCTGAGTTACACTATTTTTATGCTTTAACATTAAAGAGACCATGATTTTTGAGTGACCGATATTTCACTAACAATCTCTTTGGTATTTTCGAAACCATCATTATTGGATGAAAAGCGTTGAACTGTCATCATATGATATAGTGAGGCGGTATGACATGACTGTGCAAAGTTAACAGATAATGGGGCGGTATGGTCAGTCAGGTGGAATCTCTGAAGTTGTGAAACTAAGTAACTTGAGACTCCATCAGTTGATGCAAAATAGAATGCAGAGACGAACAAGTTAAACAAATAATATGATCCATCTCGGAATTGCACTAGGCATTGGTTATATTCACACTGGAATCCCGTCACTGTCAAAATAGTGGTCATCTGAAGCGATTTCTTCTCTTCTAAATACATTGAAACTACTTTAACAAGACATGTGTGAGTAAAATATCATATCATAGGAATGCTAGTATGTAGAACAAATAAATAAAAACGACTCAAAACAGTGGTATGGATACTTACTCAACTTCCTGTTCCAGTTTGTTGATATAAACACAGGGATTGTCTGCTTCCTGGGAATAATCACAGTTACGACATGCGTAGTATAATGTTTTTGTACGCTTATCCTCTTTAGGATACAACATGTTGTTGCATTCACTGCAGAACAAAATCCCAACATGACACTGGCTTGATTTCACATCATACTAAAATGTAAGTTAGAAAACGCTATCAGTAGAATATTCTGAACATACGGTTTCCATCTTTACTAAATCAATCCTTCAAGCGTACTTCTCGAAGAGGCTAGAAATTCCAATCAAGTAACTACAAGATTAATAAATCAGACGACCACAATTTATATAACTAAACTGCGAAAATTGACAAGACATTTGATAAACACCTAGTAATAATATAAATAATTTATTTGATAAAGTCAGTCAGTTATAATCAACGTAAAATCTAGTATATATATGTGCGTCCGTTCTAGTTGTGACACAAAATTAGCGGTGAGGTAAAATTATCATGAGAAATCCCATTGTAGTAGTAGTAGTAGGAAAAGATGGAATAAGATTTCGGAGTTCAGGAGCTAAGAGAAGATAAATAGTGAATGCATTTGCGTTGCTCAGGATGATTTTGATCCCTGTCACCGAAAATCTCTAGCTATTGATTACAATAAATGTGTGAACACCAACCTACTTGGCTGTTAGGCAGTTAATGATTTCATGGACTAATACAACGTTTTAGTTTGGCTACCCCAAATTTTTATCCAACCGGCTTCTGCACTAAGCAACATCGCACCCCAAGGTAGGCAGTAGTTGTACGTAATACATATTCCAACTACTCCGGTTGACCAATATTCACTGCCTTAACAGCCGATGTCCGATGCTTATTTCTAAAAGGATGTCTATGACGAGATTAAATGAAAATGCAGAAAAAGGGGAGTTCTGAACAACACCGCCTAAGGTTGTCGATTCTCATGACAGCTAACCATAAGCTCTAACTCAATCAGAGTCTTGTAAGCAAACAACTTGTACGAGGTTGATATACTCCTTTGGTACGCTACTCAATGTCAAACTGTCAAGGAAACTCACGATCACATGTTTAACGTTCACTTAAGGTTGTCTACTATTACCTATCTCGGTTATCTTTTCTGCCAACTTTCCTTTGGAGAGACTCGACCTCCAAAAAGGTGGTCTTGTGTCCTAATAGAAGTAGGAGGATATTTGTCACTTGCCAGTTCCACACACTATAGAAAAGCACTTTGTGAAGAATGTGAATGATGGACTAGATTAGTAGTGGTCTTAGCGACCTAAAAGCCTGATCAAAAAGCCGAAGATACAACTGCTTGAGTTCAATCACACACAACCGCTTATGAGATATTTCAGACCCGACTGTTGTTGCTACTTTGACGTGGTGGTCGGACTTGCCTATCGTGATGAAGCAACCGAGCTATACTGGCTGGAACAACCGTTCCTCAAGGTCCTACCATGTCAGACAGGTCGGTTGAAGAGCGGTAAGACTAAAAGCAACAAAACTAAGGTCCGAAGGCGAAGTCGTACTGCTGACGGTACAGAGGTGTGACAGCAGTAAGGTATTTCCATAGGACAACAAGCATGACAGCGATGCTGCCTTTCCACAAGGAGGGGTGGGGTTAGAAAAGGTCGACCCTAAAAATACACACCTCGCCTTATCCCACGGATATCCGTCTCCGGCGGTAAGGTCTCAACAAGTACGGAGCTAACACAAAAATTACCCATGAAAAGGTCGTGTGTGACCGACCTCAAGCAGTTGTCCCCTGGGCACTGCGGTCACGCTCTCAGGTCACTAAGACCACCCCTAATCCAATTTCCTTTCCAGGTACCTCCAGAAGAACCCTTCCACGGTGTGCGCAACCGGGGAGTGATAACCGTCCTCATACCTCTGACAACACTCAAGACCACTGTATTCATAATCAACCTCCTTCTTCAATTCCTATCATTGCTCCTACATCGACTTTCAACACTAAACTTCCTCTTTCGTCTTCCCCCTCAAGTGTCACCATAGCCAACGGTCCTACCGCGCAAAACACTGCCGCAGGTCAACTGAAACCTCACTCCAAACCACACATTGGAGCCTTCAACGTACGCACCTTATGTCAAACTGGTCAGCAAGCTTCCTTGGCTAAAACCCTAGGTTCTCTTACCGTTGATGTATGCCATGTCTTCGAAACACGCATACAGAATCCTAGTGTCGTCATTCAGTTGACCTCACCTCGGCGAAACGGAGAGCCAACGAGACACACCCTCCGTGTATCTGGTGACCCGATGGCCAGTTCTCGTGCACTGACCGGTGTAGGCATAGCACTAAGAATGAGGGCGGAACAAGCACTGTTAGAGTGGATCCCTGTTAACAGTCGTTCATGTGCTGTTCGGCTAAACGGCTCCGTAAGAACTCGGAAGGATAGGGACACACGTTGTTGCCTTTTTGTCCTTTATGCCTACGCTCCCACTGACTGCAGCTCGGAAGAATTGAAAGATGAATTTTTCAGAAAGCTATCTGAAATTCTTCAGAAAGCTAAACGTTCAGACATAGTACCCACAGGAGGTGACTTTAATGCACAGATAGGTAGTTTAAACCAAAAAGAAAGGCATTTAGGTGGATATTTTAGTATTCTGGTTCAGCGAACAGATAATGGTGATCGTCTGCTGCAACTATGCTCGGACAATCGTTTATTTTTAGCAAACACAAATTTTAAGCATAAGGAGAGACATTGTTTAACATGGCGACCCTCTACACCAAACCAACGATGGACTCAAATAGACCATACTGCCATCAGTCATCGTTGGAGAGGGTCGGTAGAAGATTGTCGCTCATTCTGGAGTACCTGGTTGGACTCCGACCATGCCCTGTTACGCGCACGCATCTGCTTGCGCCTCACTGGACGCAGAAAAGCCACAGTAAAAAGACCCGTTAGAACTGAATTGAGTAGCGAGAAAACCAAAAGTAGGTTCCAGGAACAACTGAGGTCACACTTAGGTAGTTCTGAAAACGAGGCTGACCCAGATGTTGCTTGGAAAGATATACAAACAGCTGTGGAAACAGCAATGAAATCTATTAGTGACTTAAACCACAGAGTTACAAAGAACCAGTGGATTTCTTCAAAGTCTATCACACTGATGGGTTCTCGCAAACTCATCCCATCAGGTTGTGAACATGATGAAGAGCGTAAACAAATCAGATCTGAGTTAAGCAAAAGTCTAAGGAACGACCGTGAGCAGTGGTGGGCAACGAAAGCAAAAGAGATGGAAAGGGCAGTGGCTATAGGGAACAAAAGATAGCTCTACAGACTAATAAAAGAAGGTGGAATTACTAAGTCAAGTGTAAGTCAGACTATTTCGGAAAAAGACGATACTCTCACCTGCTCCCAGTCTAGACGTTTAGAACGATGGGCGGAACATTTTAGAGAACAGTTCAGCTGGCCTTTAGCTATTCTACAACTACCCTTTATTCCCAGACAATGTGAATGGAACATTGAAGTAGGTCCCCCAACTCTAGCTGAAGTCCAAAAGGCTATAGTTAATCTGAAACGAGGAAGCGCAGCTGGTCCAGATGGATTGGCTCCAGATAATTTTAAGGATGGTGGTCCAATTTTAGCGATTAGGTTGACTAATATTTTAGCTAAAATCTGAAAGTTAGACGTTATCACATCTAACTGGTCGCAATCACTTATCGTCCCAATATATAAGAAAGGGTCAAAATCATCCTGTGACAAGCACAGAGTGATTTGTTTAACTAATATAGTATCTAAAATACTAGGCTCGATAATTATCAGGCGCCTAACTAAGACTCGTGGACTGCAAACACGAGAGAACAAAGCTGGCTTCAGACCTGGTCGTGGCTGCATCGACCACATATTCACCATTCTTCAGGTTCTAGAACAGAGGCATACTTATCGACGTCCGATGATGGTGGACTTTCTTGACTTAGATGCAGCATTTGACTCGGTCGACCGCGAGGTTCTGAGGCAGTGTCTTTCATTGAAAGGCGTACCTCAGAAGTCATAAACCTCACGGCCGCGAAACATGGCTTTTTGCAGTTTAAGATACTCGTAAGCTACTAGTATTTGACCACAGATGCCTTAGAAACATTGCTGGCATCTCCTGTGATCACTTGGTAATTTATACTGAGGTTAGACGCAGGGTATTAGGGAGTGATGATGGTAAATCAGTTGATGAGGTTGTAAATCTTCATCGACTGAGGTGGTTGGGCCACGTGTTGCGTATGCCTGAACACCGATTGCTACGATGCGCAATGCTAACTGGTGTTGGGGATGGTTGGAAAAATGTTAGGGGTGGCCAAACCAAAACGTGGTGTCAGTGCTTGAAGACAATAACTTCTAGTCTGAGCCGTGTTGATAGATGCAGACTACTTGGTTGGGGTCAGCGTGACTATCGTAACCAAGATTTGGAGACTCCTGGTGACATGACTCAGAATCGATCACAATGTCGTAGGTGTATACACTCCCTGTCTTCCCTTAAACTAAGAGATTAAAATCACTTCATATCTTTCTTTCGACGAACTAATTCTTCCTTCCTGTAATACACTTTTATATGCAATCTTTCTTCTATATATTACCCACATTGAAGTAAACACGTCTATGAATCCGGTGTTCATCTTGCTGTGCTAATGAGGTATGGCAACCTGGACCGATGCACATATGTGCCTGGTCCTACGTTGTAGCTGACTGACTGACTGACTGACTGACTGACTGACTGACTGACTGACTGACTGACTGACTGACTGACTGACTGACTGAGATATTCCAGACAGATCAGCTTTTTACTTCAAAAATGCCTTATCACCAGAGACAGAGATCAGTGAGTAAGGTATAAAATTTCTAGAGTTGATCCTTACGAACTCTCACTTTTCGTTGTGAGAAAGCAGAATCGTTGTAAGTGCTAGTTTCCTGAAGAAAAAAATCAACGGCTATCAGACTACTGTACAGTCGGCAGTACAAAATCACCTTCGAACCTTAATCTGTTTGGTTTAGTCTTACCGTTCTCCAACCGACATGCATAGCATGGCAAAATCTTTAAGAACTAATGTCCCAGGCAGCATAGAACGACTGTATTATTACAGTAGGTAAGGCTGGCTACCACACCAAGGTAGCGGCTACGGTTGTAATATTTGATGAATTTTACACCTTTGCTATATTTACTTCATATACGTCCAGTGAGGGATTCACCAAGAGCATGAGGTGATTTAGTATTCCAGACCTTTGACAGTGCATCATATTACAAATTTAGTGGTTGAACTTACAAAAGCAAGTGAGTTTTCTATACAACAGAATGTCATTCTTCCATATCCTTGAATCGTCTGTATTTTTATTACAGTTGTTTGATGATCTAGTTAGGATATAATGATTATTTGCAATTAGTACCTACAATCGTCGACTGCGTAGCAGGGTAAACTTTAATATATTCCGAGAGGAAAGTTACTTACATAACCAAGCCATAAATGAACCGCACACTGATTGACATAAACAACTCACCAGAAACAGCGGTTCATCACATCAAGTTAATATGTTTCATAACAACACTTCCTATAAAAAAACCGGAGGACCAATACATGTATGATTTTTAGTGACTGATAAAAGTTTCAGAAAATCGGATTCCTTTACAACATTTTCTGTAGAATATTTATGATATATAGGGTGGAAGTTTTGGGACTTTTGAGCAACATACAATGAACCAAAACTAAGTTAAACAGTACTAGTATTGTGGATTGTGAAATCAGAGAGTAGAGACTTATATTCACAAAAGAAAGGAAAATCTGGCGAGACTATAGTTTGTGGACGAACCAATCAGGTATAAGACAGCAGATCTCGGATTTTCCACGAAAGTCGTTCATCTATTTGGCTAAAGAGAGTTTTTGCATTATAGCTGATGTCAGTTCGTGATGAAAACCCCATATATAATTAATAACTAGGGCAACTTACGACAATTATTTCGAACTGGATAATAAAAGCATTGGTAACACTGGTTGCAGCCAAGTACTACAATATATACGGATGATTAGAAACCGTACAGACTCCTACATATGCTTGGTTATGTGCATCGTGTCGTTATCCACAAGTGGCAATTTGTGTACTCGGCAACCGGAGTGCACACAAACAACATTGAAGCTATGTGGTCGAGGCTGAAAGTTTTTGCGACCTTATCATTGCCCCAGAGTCCGATTATTCTGTAGCCATTGACGCATTCAAGAGAAGAATAGACACTCACAGAAGCATATGAGAAAAGAAATGACACAGGACGTAGGCCTTTTGAAATTTGTGCTGATGTCGTTCAGAAAGACGATGAGAGCTCCACGACCAAACCATCCAGCTCAGAAAACAAAACTCCACCGAAAGTAGGCCTTTTGTCCTTACTGTCACTATTATAATCGTGCCCAGCGTTTATATATAAACGCTGAAGTATATACACTACAACTGTATAACGTGAAAAGAGAAACGATTGACAAGAGTAGTAAGTGAAGGGTACACAATGATACATATGACGTTGTAGATGACTGACTGATAAGCGTACAATTTAAATGAACGTATGTACATTTAAATTGTATACTCATTCATATATGAATTGTGAGATAAAGGTACCATGAATTCCCACACGAAATAGATATGCTTTTGGCTCTATTATTTGATGATTTAACATAATAGGCACGACTACTAATGTATGACTGATCAACATTAGATTTCAATAAACCAAATTAATGTACGCTAACCTTCAGTCGAAACACTTGATCCGCCACATTTAATTTACCGCGTCGAAACCCTGAAACAAATTGGTCAAATGGTTCCGGAAGGAACAGAAGAAGCTTTTGCTTAAAGGGCTTCCATATTCGATAGTTGTGTATCACAAATGCCTCCAGATTGGAAACTAGGTATATTAAACATAAAAGAGGGAAATGAAAAGTGTTAGTATATCACAGTCAAACTGTCCTTGGACTTTAAGAATATGTCAAGTTTTCTCTTAAAAGACTCGTGAGAGAATACTTTGACTATTTTCGCAGGCAGCGATTTCCAACATCTGACTAATCTTACGAAGTAGGCGTGTCCTGTGCTGTTTGTGTGAACTAATTATCTCTTTCTACCTGTTGACTGCTAGATTTCGGATTCCGAATGCAACACATTCGTTCGTGCTTATCTAGTACTTCTTGAATAAATTGCGCTATTTCTGGGATTCTTAGTTTGTACTATAATTCAAGCACTTCTAATTACCACAGTCTATAGTCCGTACTGCTGCGTTATGTCTCCAGTTTCTGGGTGTTACCGCTCGCTCTTGTGCGGAGACTAAACTTAAGTACGTGTTTAAGAGAATATCTAGCTGTGATAATGATGTTGTAAGGAATAAGAAGGTCACCTCTTAGTTGCCTCTACTCCAATGAGTTAAGATTTAGGATTTGGAAGCGCTCCTCACAAGACTTGAATTTGAGTCCACGAACTGATTTTATAGCTGGCTGTTGAATATGTTGAAAGTGCCCTGAATTTTTTAGATTCAGGAAGGAAATACTATGTTTTACATGCATTCAATATGGACTAATAAATCTGCTGAAGAATATGTTTGAAGTTTCTTGATCGAATCGGCCGAAAATGCTCCTCAACGTTAACAGTGCGAGACTTGCTCGAAAGGCATTTTTTCGCAGTTAGCTTAGGATTTCTCGTTATGCTGTATCAACACCCCTAGTTCTTTTCAACTTGGGATACCTATAGAGAGGAGATACCTAAGTTGCATACGTAATCTGTAATACGTCCCACATGGATTACTTTACACTCTGAGGTGTTAAAGTTAGATGTTTCGTAGTCTATCCAATTTTAAATCGCGTCAGGAACGAACCATACCCGGGCCCGGAAAAGTGTTGATTTTCAGGTGTTGCAGCTTCTGACATACCAAGCCTGAGCCCGGATTCACTTCTGAGAGTCCTGTTGAGTTTAATGTGAAGCTCTCATCAGCATGGTTAGCATGAGTCGAAAATCCACGTTTCTAGCAGAGGGATTGTAAGATAGCCGTGTGTGCACATTCATTATTTACTTCGTCAGATGTTTCCCTATAGAACCATGCATCACTTATATTGAATGACGTTAACACTTACAATAAGTATAACATTTAAGTAAGCTAAGAAACTTCTGTCTAAGCTGCGCATTTTATCGTCTGTCGGCATCAATACGTATATTGATTAAACTGGCATAACTCAATCTTTATTTCAGTTTTATTATCTCCTTTTTTCGCAACAAAAGATTTCAAAGAATCTTACGATTGCTATTGAAATGTGAGATTGTCATACATGATTACATTTTAATTTCAATACAATGTTCGCTATTTATGTATGACTTTAAAAAATTTTGCTGCCTGGTTTGAAAATTTCCTTGGGTTATGAGCAAGTCACAAATGTACCAACACTTTATAAGGAACTTTCTCTCAATAGGCTCAAAATTTATTTGTTTATTCTTCATTTGAGATCTTATCCTTTGAAGAAACCTACGTATGATATTCCGAACGGCATAATTCTTCTGTGATATTGACATGATATGGAGTATTTATAACTTATTAACAACATATCAGCTACAAGCGTACTAAAGTGCTATATGTACCTAGTGTGTTTAACGCAAAATTTTATCGTTTAGCGATTTCGAACTACTTTTTATCGCACCTTATATATATCATCATATGGTCTTAGCGTATGTCTTTTTCGATCTAATCCATTTATTTATACAGTTGTCGTATGAAACATTTATTCATTTCGAGCCAATTCAGTTAAACATATCAAAGTGATTTAATGTAGCGACAGATTCCTTCATATATCTTTTACTAATTTATTCGAGTAAAATATTTGAAAGCATGCTATCTTTGTTAGCTATATATGAATAATTTATTATTATTATTATTAGCTTTATTCAATATTATAATTTTGGTACAATATAGAATTCTCAGCGCAAAGTATTTCAACAAGTTTCCGTTTCTTTCTTCTTGGACGGTCCTATCGATAAATATTGAGGAATCGCCAGTTAGATGTTAGCACTTCAGTGAATGAACAACTGAATAATGTACATTCTTTTCGTTGTACATTGCCAGCAACCATATTGTCTCTTATTGAGTTTTCTGTAACTTTGAAAACGAAATGTTGTACACTTTTCAGAAACGCAGCAGAATAGGTTATGCGATTAATAAACATAATGATATATTAGAACGAACAACAATAGATAACTTGTTGAAATATCTAGATGGCAGGAACAGGTAGCCCAGATGCTCAAGCAGGCCGCCCTTATATATATTATATATTACCATCAACTAAACTGCAATCGTTATATCTAAATGACAATAGTGGTTTAACTAAATTAAGTCGTCATTAAACCCACCAAATCTATTCAAATTTCATTTCCTGTTGAAAGGGATCAACTTTTTCGTTCGATTACCATTATAGTGGCAAGATTTAAAATATGAACATATCTCCAAGTCAGTTCACAAGTTAGGTGAATCTATGGCGTTTACCAACCCTAGATTCCTACACATTATAATATGAAATTGCTAAATTCACTTATTTATATCAACCTTACTTTAGTCTTTGCAACGTAATGATGATGGATTGACGACAGTAGAACCTGAAAATATAAATGAGACGAGTAAGGAAGTCAAGACCAATTTTTGTGATTCACGAAAGTCCTAATCAATGAACGGCGAGACTCTATTTTAAGGACGACCTTTGAACGAATCCTAAATGACCGTGACAATTATTAGCCAATCAGAAGAAAGTTAGTATAAAGTGAAAATATATTATATGAAAGTAATAAATTACAGTGGATATTCTCCTTTTACATGATTTTAAAACTTGTTAAGGTTTGATTAAGGTTCAGAGGTTCTGAATTCGCAATGCATATGGAATAGAAACCCGTCCATTGGGTTAGGATTAAGTTTACGAATAAGGTTAGGGTTTAGGGTTAGGGTTAGGTGAGGTTTAGGGTTAGGATTAGGGTTAAGTTTAGAGTTTAGGGTTAGGGTTAGGTGATAGTTAGAGTTTGGGGTTAATGTTAGGGTTAGGATGCTAACATACGTGTTTTTAAATTATGTCAAAGAAGAATATACACTGTAATTTATTACTTTCTTTTAATATATTTTTACTTTTTTCTGTCTTCTGACTGACTAATATATGAAATTTCTCAAACGCTTTGATTGGCTCATCCCTAAATTAGAGTCTCACCGTCCCATCTGTTGTAACCACTCATTAATCACCTACTCTCTAAAATCCGCTGTGAACCGATCGTATGTTAGCATCGCGTGTTGAACTTGGCTCCATGACCTTGAATTTATTCAAACGCTTCTGGTAGGCTCGTCCATAAATCAGAGTCTCGCCCAATGAAAGTTATCATGTACAGATGAAATTTATTGAACGTAATTGTCCAAGACGTTTTAAAACTTATGGATTGTAATAAAGCTATATCCAAGAGACCTTATGGGAAATGGTTGAATAAATAAAAACTTACGTACTTACTCTTGTCCTCTTAGGAAGGAGCGTGACGCGAGCACCAGCACTCTAAATCCAACTCTGTCACGGGCATGTAGTGGCATTGGACAATAGCCACACAGTCCACAAAGCTGTGAACACGAGACTACTCAGAAAATAGATATTCAATATTTAACGCGGAGAAATACCTAACAATGGAGAAGGCGCGAACAAGGAATTGAATGGACTGGGTTTGATCGGATGGCATGGCTCGTCCATGCAGGCGTGGTCCATCTCAATGTTACTTTATATCTTCTATTCATATTAAATATATTGTTCTTTCTCTAGCCTAACCTTGTTCTATATCATGTATTGGTAATTGATACGATACAGTGAGTTGGTGTAGTCGGTGGTGTGACTTCCACGTAAGATCTTATAGATTAGGCAGTTATATCATGACAAATCTACAAATTTAGGATTAGGTCTATTATTAGAGCAGTACTAATATCATAGTAGACCATAATTCTACATTGGTGAGCCCAACTAAAGAAACGCAACCTATTATTGTTAATCCTTATTTCCACCTTAACCTTCTCAATCGGTTTTTATTTTTGTAAACCCAGTATTCTAATAGTCCTTTGATTAATGGTCACATATATTATCGTAATGTCATATCTATTAGTTCTTATAACTTACTAGCTCAATCGATAATAAAAGTTGATCATCTATATAAACGAATCAGCTTTGATGGTTCGTTAACAAGCTTTAATAGCATTTACCTGCTTCAGCGACATAGACTTGTTTAAACATGAAGCTCCAGTGAATATGAACTGTAAATAACTTATCTGGATCTAATTCTTGGTGTTCGTTCAACTCATCATGTTCTAAACTATGCACTATCCTGTAATATCTTTTCTTCCGACCACTGCCTGCCTAATTTCATATTTTCGAGTTCCATTGCCAAACAACAAGGATGACACTTCTCCAAAAACATACGGTGAGTTTCAGCTATACGTTTTCTGCAATCATAAGGTCATTTAAGATAACTCGTTCAATGGCAACCACACAATTACCTGGATTCATTCGATTGTTCTGATCCGAGCGAGTGGCAAAAACGCCAACAGCATCAAGCACCCTGGAATTAATTGCCATACTGCATGTTCTTTCTGGATTTTTTTGGATCATTACTACTCACGAGTGGCGTTGTATGTGTCGTCCACTGAATAATCTAATTTTCAAAAATAACCCAGGCGAGTTCAACTATTTTAATGATTTTTTGTACTTAACATGTATATGTCTTCCAGTTGCTTTTGCCATATATTTGTAAGTGTCCCTAGGTTAAATGCA